AGCAAATTTAAAAAAGTTGACTAGATTAATGGTATTGGCCTAGATTTGAATAATAATTTGATTTTTTTTTAATTTTTAAATAAATACTTTTCGGGTTGATTAATGGATTATTTTTGTTTGATTAAACTATATAATCCTTTCCTGAAATTAGTTTTGCTGAGAGCCAAAGTAAAACTCTACTTTGGATAAGTCTGGTTTTGCCAATTTACCAAATAACTTAAAAGAAATAACTTTAAAGCAAATTAGTTAATTTTTGCTTGCTGTGTAAAGTTTTTTTTTAGCTAATTAAAGATATATTGCAAAATATTTTAAAATGTGAGCAGTAGACAAAAGCGGATATTCCGACCTTAAATAATAAATAACCTGCATAAAAAATAGTTTATTGTTTAAACTACTAAAGCAATAGTGCCCGCAAAAACTGAATTCGTATTAAACGTTAAGTATACGCCAAGTCCGCCAGCTTTGTGATGTTTAAAAAAGCTTTATATAAAAGCAACATACAAAGCTTTTTGTTAGCTTGAACAGTTGTTTCAAAACTTTCACCTCAACAAAAACGAAACTTTCACCAAAAATAAGCTTTCACCATAGCCAGATATTTCTACCACTAAGACTTCCATAGCTTATAATACAACCTAGTCCTTTTTTGGGCTTTAAAGCTCAAAGTCCACGAAAATATGTCCTGCGAAAATATGTCCTGCGATCCCGTGGCGATTCCCAAGAATCTAAACAAGTTTGCCCTTGACATTTGCGGCTGATTCAAGGTCATCGCAATCGCTGCACTCGACATCACAGGTTGCAAAGCAACATATCAAAAGACCTCAAGGTTTCTCTCTTGAACTTCAACCACTCAGCCTGTCAGATAGAAAGATTCTTCCCGGTAAAAGATAGACAGTTGTGTGCATAAAATTAGTAGTACTGGTAGTTTAAGCCAGAACAGTTTTAAATCACGTTTTCTTTAAATTGATAGAAGTCACTTTTCCAGCAATTAGACCTTAAAAAGGAGTGTTGCGAAACTTACATTTTTTTCTCTATTTCGTTAGATATTTTCTTCCCTGTAAAAAAGACTCACGAAAAAGTTGTATTTCTAATGGCCCCATCCTTCCTTTATTCTTAATTTCTAATAAAAATCACTTATAATTTGTGCTGATTATAACGCTTAATATAGTTAATCATGAATAATGATTTAAGCTCATGTTTCTGAGGCAATAACATAATCCAGTTGTAATGTTTTGAACCCTGCTGTGTGTTTATTTACAACTTGTGCTTAACCAAAGGTTACCCACAGGAAATGTGGGAAATTCCTCTCCGTTTGTGCTCACTTTTGAGTGGACAGTGAGCTCTGCGGTTGTCAGCTGCCAGGTAACTTGGCTAGAACAGGATATTGTGGTTGGAGAGGCAGAATAAGCCAAAGGTCTTCCTGCAAAAATAATTTACAAAAATCAAGTTCAAGTTTACCTTAACGCATTAAGCTTGCAGTCTGGATATGAAAGTAAAGTTTACTTATGAAACCACTTTCGCGCTGCGTTAACAGCCGGAAATTGAAGCCGCTCTTGGTTAATACTAATTCATACTCAAACAAATCTGATGTTTTAACGGGGGGGAAATGTTTACAAGCTAGTTAAGAACATAATTTTAAATACAGTTAAAATAAAAGGGACCACAGTCAAATATTTGATTTTTAAATAGCAAGACTATAGTTTTTAGTTTTTTTTAAGCACGAATTAATATTTTTAAGAACAAGTAGATACAAATGTATTGAACCAAATTTAAAAAAAAAACATTCTTAAATATGCAGGTGCAAGTCAGGCATGTAATATGTATTTATAAGTACATATATTCGCATTCATGACTCAATTATCTGCAATTGTTATTTGTTTGTCCTCACTTTACATACGTAATGAAGTCTGGAAGTCGAGCAAATATTTTTCGAATTCCATAAGCATTTCTTGGTAAATTCTTGACTGCTCTTTATCCCAGCCAATTGAATTAATAACCATTATTCCGCCTTCTTTCCTTTCTTTTCAGGTGAGTTTTCAATGTTTTGACAGCATTTTAATATACTTAATGCAGTAGATGAATCGTAAGTAGAGAAAATTAAAAATAGTTGCCACAAGTGGGAAATAGAAATGTGTATGGGAATTTAATGTGGTGTCATTTTATTGAAAATATTATGTTTACAATATAGTATTTCTCTGATAAGAAAAATACTTTCCTTAAATTAAAATATTTATGGTGATGTTAATAGCATTTATAATTTTGGTTCAACCTTGAAGTGTTTTGTATACAAACATCCATTAAGTCTAGTATTAAGCAAGAGAGGAAACAAAGTTCGTAAAACCGAGGTTTATATACCCTTTCAGCTATATTAAGAAACTATGAAGCTTTGTCGATTTTTCAATTTTAAATATGTTTTTGATGCCCAAAATCCGGAAAAATGCAACTCGATTTCCGGTTTTTTGATCAAAAACATAGGATATAATGGTCAGATCTTGGAATGCCATATCTCGTTAAATTCGTTACAAAATTTCCAATCGAATGGTATTCTCAGCTCAAAAATTTTATTTCGGCCCAAATTTGGAAAAAAATCAAGTGTTACCCCTTATGAAAAATGCGAAAATCGATAAAAAAAAAATAAAATTTACCAAATCCTTCTGGAATTGATTGTATATGTTCTCAGCTGCACAAAACAGTCATTCTTTTGGCTGTGCGGCAAGTTTCAACAAAAACCATTAAAAAATGTGTTTTTAAAAATATGTTTTTGATGCCCAAAATCCGGAAAAATTTAACTCGATTCAACTCAAAAACCTAGAAAATAATGGTCAGAACTTGGAATGTCATATCTCGTTGAATTCGTTACAAAATTTCCCAATTCATTGGTTATCTCAGCTAAAAATTTTATTTTTGTCCAACTTTTCCAACAAAAACTTGGGTTTACCCCTTAAATCACCCTGGAATTAATTGTATAGGCTCTCAGCTGCACATTTTTCGCTTCTAGGGTAGCAACAAAGTTATACATATTTATTTTACATAGTTTTTTGACCAGTGTTCAATAGGGACTTGCCAACTCAGCTTAGAGTTTTTTCCAGCTCTTTCTTCTGTTCTTCCTGTAGTCCCACATGCTCCGCAGGATTGTCAGTGCATCAATAATTGAGGGCGGCAAGGGATAATGCCTACAAAGGGGCGGGGTTGGGGCTAAAGGTCCTTTCTCGACATGTTCAATCAATTTAACCGGCATTTTCTAGCGCTACTCGCCGCTTTTTCTTATGTTAACTATGCAGTTGATAAAAGTGGATGCATATAATTTATAGAATCTAAAAAGTAGGCAATTATAATCAAGAAAAAAGTTTTTTTTGCTGTGGCAGCAAAAAAAGAATGCATCGAAGTTGATGAATTCCACTTTTCGGATGAAACATAACAAAGCCAATCAAATGGAGTGCAATTGCAATCGATGAAGATGAGTTGAACGAGAAAAGTTATGCATACAAAAGAGATCCACGTTTAAATCGAAAGATATACAAATTTTGTTTAGCATTTTGGCTTCTAAGTTTTCGCTGGCTTTCGATGCCAATCAAAATCCGACAACCGTGTTTTGTATTTAACAATTAATAATTAAATTGCATTACGTTTTTTGTCTCTTCTTTTGTAAAACTAATAACTTCAAATCTAGCTCTAGTAATTCGATTTTTCTATGTTTAATATAACTATAATCTTGCATAATCTCTCAAGTTAACTTAAGTTCATTACGAAACTTTGCCCAACTGGCCAAGTTAATTGACATTAAACAAAGTGAAACACTTGCACAAACCCAATTGAAATGGAAATAAAAGAAATGAAAAGAACGAGAGCCAACAAAGGAGGCAAACAATTTCGAATTCTGAAACGAAATTGACTTAGAAACTTTAACTGCATAATGGAAGGTGGAAAAGCGGAAAAGTGGAGAGCTTGGGGGAGAACTGAAAACGGAAGTGTGCCCGATGTTGTGACAACTTTCCATTTCTATCTCGTGTGCCAGATTTTGGATTCCCAGCAGTGGCTGATAAATGTTTGCTAATTCCGTTAATCATACGCCGCGTTGCCCAGCTCCCCGAAATGAAACAAACCGAAGTTGGGCCCATTGTTGTCTGCCGATGGCCGTGGGGAATCTCCACTGCCAGAAAGCTGAAAGCATTCTTCCTCCATTTGCAGTTCCAACTGCAGTTTCAGCCGCATTTGTAGCCTTTGTTTGCCGACTTTTTCGAGGGTTTTTAAAGCCCGGCTGGCCAACATGTTAGCCCAGTTCATCGGCAACTAGCCGACAACATGTTGGCTCGATCCCGGGCTATTTGAACAGGCACAGTGGTGCAAATGCCATTTGGCAATGTTACAAAACCATAATATTTAACTTTTGCTATTTATTTACCAAAAGTCAAGGAATGCACTCTTAATATATATCTGGGAAATATTTTTAACAATTCAATCAATCAAATTAATTTCATTCTTTATTAATTTAAAAGTGTATTTTTACATTAAATTATAGCTAAGATACGCGTAATTTGGTTCTACAATAAAAATATTTGGTAAAATCTATCGGAATTTTAGAAAAGGTCTTTAAAACCATATACAAACTAATAGTAACTGGGGTAATTTTTGTAGGATTTAATCTGCCTAAGAGTTACTAAGAGGCACTTTTATAAATACATATTTTATGAAATGTTCTGGTCTTCTTAATTAACTAAAATGTTATAGAAATGTAAGAGCTGTGAGACCACTGTCCAGTTATCCCTTCGATTTGTTTTATTTGTTTGATTGCCTTTGCACATTGCCTGCCAATTTTGGCCACCGGATTGGTTATGTTTCCCGGCCCGCAACATGTTCGACTCGAACCACTCGGCAGTTGGTGGTGCGGTGGTTGGGCGTCGGTGGTTCGTGTCGCGGCCGAGCCAACCACCGATTGCGAGTCGGAAGCGGCTTATCGCATCGCCCTGCCAGTTGCAAATCAGACCTCTGAGCAGCAGCAACAGCACAGCGGCAGCAGCAACAGCAGCAGCAGCAGCAACATCAGAGTCAACATCAACATCAATATCAACATTACAGCAGCAACATCCAGCACGTGTGCCCCAAGTGCGTTTTCCATTTTGAGCACTCGTTTTTTTTCCAAGTGTTACCTTTTTTCTTTTTCGTGTGTGCAAAAGTGCTTGAGCAAAATACAAATTCAAACAAAAAATGTCACAAAAATAAAGCTATACTGCGAAAGAAAAGCAAATCAAAGTGCACAACTGTTAAGTGAAGTGAAGTGATCGGCGTAGGAACTCTTAAGACCCGGACTAAAACTAAACCAGAAAACTTGTTGCAGGGCCACAGCACAACCCTTAAAAGGTAGATCCGGAAAAAAAATAAATAAAGCGGGGGCGTCGATTTTGTCAAAGCCAGATCAAGAATAACCAAATGACAAAATGCCATAAAAAGCACCTAAGAAAATATATTTATAAAAAAAACAACAATTAATCGCTTTTATAGATTGTTATCATCGGTTTCCTATAAGCGATTCGCTGATTAATCGACGGGCCATGAGTATTTGTTGTTAAAAAGCAAAAAGAAGTGGCAGGTGATTAATGATGCTGCCGGGGGAAAAGGTTTAAAGGCAGCTCTCCCAAAGGAGATTTCGAATGAAAGGGTTTGGTAAGGGAAAAGCATGTCTAAGGGAAAAAAAAGAAAAACAAATTTGTGGTTAGAAAAACTAAGCGAAACCATTCTACATTTTTTAATAGTTCATAATAACAATAAGGCAGTACCAAATAATACCGAATAAATTTATGAGATCTAGTTTAGAACTCAGAGTAATTGTGTAAAAAATTTAAAACGTATCAAAAATTCGTTCTACTTGAGGAACAGAATGTCATTCAACAATTGCAATTAGAGGCTCATGCTAAAACCTCATTATCAAAATCTAAATAAGTTTACAACCTATTTCAAAGAACATTTTGTCTGTGCAATAAACTGCAATTATCTATGTTTGCAGTGGCTTTAATTTTTCCAGCAATTTTCAATTTCTTATCTTGTCTCCTAAATTGCTTATTAACTCAGATTGCCAAGCGAAAAAACATGCAGTCAAAGTGGGTTTAACTTGAGCGGGTTTTTTGATCCCAATAAACTTCGACCAAAACTTTCGATGAGTCAAACAAATCACAATTGCTAAAAAGCAAACAAAAGAAAGAAAAAAAAACTAGTCCAAGTTTTCATATCACTTGCTATCGTTCGCAACAGCAACAACAATTAGCGTAATAAACGCATAAAGTTTATAAAAATGTGTAGATTCTAGACCCGGATACCAAAATCTGAGGGGGGAATCGGGTGAGGGGGTGTAACATTTAGTCACCGAGTCGTCCACTTCTGGTGGCTTCTGTTTCTTGTTTCTAAATGGTTTTTGTTATTTTGTTTTTTTTGTTTTTATAGTTTTTCACTTACTTTGCCCTCACTTAGTCAGACAACGAAATGCGAAATGCGGCCGTCTGTCTAAGAATTTTTGGCAGCAATCAAAATTATTAGACGTCGCCCATATAGAAAGCCCCCTGATGGCAAATGGCAACAACAATGCCACACAATGGGCTACGAAAATTAACACATTTTGACGAACTTTTGTGCGGCTGGCAAAACAATTTAAAAATGTGTCTTTCTACCCCGCAGACAAAAGAAAATTAGAAAACTAAATGCGACACCTGCAATTTAACGAAGTTGGAGTGCTCTTTTGTTTTCTGGGTATTTCAGTTCGCTGCCATACACATACACTTTAATCATAAATTCTTAAACTGAATATTATGAATAAGGAAATAAACAAAATATCAAGTATGTTTTAAATGGATCTTTTTCTGTAGTAAAAACTATTTTGAAATAAAAATTATACCTAGAACTCAGCTAAAATAAACTTGATTTTTATGAAGCCTTAGGATACATTTTATTTTATTTACTTGTATTCATTTTAAAAATCTTAAATAAATTCCAGGATTAGACAAACCTACAATAAGTTTGGGGTTGCCAAAATAAAATGTTGACTAGACCTATAATAAAATTTAACAACACATTTTTCGAAAGCATTTGCTTTAAAGTTTGGAAATTAAATTAAATAGCTTGGTGAGAATAATTTGCACATATAAGTGCCTCACGAAATTCGCTAAGAGAATTATGAAATAGAAAGTTCCATACTAATCCAATGAAAAAGCCAAGATGCCCCAAGCCAAAAAAAAAAACATAAAAAAAACAGACGCATTCCCGGGTGCGAGAGGAATTCATCAAAATTGAAATGCTTGTGGGTCTGTTGGCTAAGTGCTCGTGTCGCATAATTAACGCATTCCCTAGTGCAGCTGAACATAAGTCTGGTAAATGTTATATGGTATATGGTATATGGTATCTGGTATCTCGGATCTCCTCGGATCTCGCAGAAATATTCTCTGAGGATGGATGGGGGTCACATAATCATCATGTTAGCTTGGCTTAAAATTCATTTCGCTGGCAACAGTATAGCGGCGAACACAAAACCGAAAACACAGAACTTATTTATAAAACTGAGCAGTCGAGTGGATGAATATGCCGCTCCTTCTGCCCGCTCCCGTATTTTATTTATTTATTTTTTTTTTTGTTTTGGGGCCCTGAAACGAACGGAACGATAAAAATAAACCAAAAGCCAAACGGCGGACGAGACAAAACTGTTTTTCACCAACAACAAAAAAAAAAAAAGAAAAAAAACAATACACGCAAAAACACAAAAAGTCACAAAGGTGTAAAATATATTTTGAAAATGTTGAATTTCCCTTTTGTTTGCATTGCGCGTTAATTTCCACAGAAGCAGAGATAAATACATAAAACGTCCAGAAATTCAAGAGAAACGGAAGAAAAAAGCTAAGGCTAAAAAGCAATTAAAACAAATTGTGCCGTAAGTCAGGTCGGTGGGCTTACAGCCCAGTCCCCCGGAGAAAAGCTCCGAAATAAAAAAAACAAAATACAAAAAAAGAAATCGAGGAACAACCAGGATCCAAAGGAAACAGGACCCACCGTCCCCAAAAGGTAACCAGGAATTATTTAATTAATATTTCATACGAAAAACAATCTTGCCTCATTGCCGCATACTTTTTGTCTCCCCCGAAAACCCAAATACTAATATATTACCCCTTGAATCGCATATTATTTTTCAGTCGACTGCATTTGATTCGATTTGCGGTTCAAATTTTTGCCCAGAATAATACAAATGTGTTCAAAACCGTAAAGGCTTTAAAAAAAAGTAAAGAAAAATATTTCAACAATATTAATATTTGTCTGACACTGATACAAATCAATGACAGAGAAAAACAAAAATATAGTATAAACCAATAATATTTTAATTGGTTTTCATTTTAAAAACCATATTTTAATATGTTTGTACATTTTTGTATTCAAAACAGAAATAAAAGGGATAATAAAAATGAGTTTCGCACTTTTTCTAAAGCTCTATTATTTTAAACACAGCTGTATAATTGCTTTTGGGGCATTGTTTTTGGCAGGCTCCATTGAATTTCGGCAATAATATTCACGGAATTGAATGCGTATTTAAATACGGTTTGACTTTTTAAGGTTGCTCGATTCGATTCACTGCTATTCCTCTTTTACACAAAGCAAACACAAAGCCAAAACTTGTTGAGCGTGCTTTTTTTGTTTTCCAGAAGTAGAATGGGAATAATAAATGCATTTCATCGGATTAGTTTCAGCTGCAAATATTCACAGAAGCACGGCAATTAATTTAGCATACTTTACTAGTCCTCAATTTTGTATAAATTAATTGCAGCGATTTTCATAACATTTTCTTTGTGTCTGTATGTGTTTCAAAGGGTTGGGTTGCCTGCAAGATTTATGAGTTACTGAAAGGGTTTTTAAAGGGCTGTGCTTCGTTATCAAAGGTCATACTTATAAATGTGTCAATAATAATTGATTGCCCTTATTTGCATCCGTAGTAAATATGGTTCTATAACTTCGAAATATATATAGGCATATTTATTTTACGATCTTAAAATATTTCAAAGATTTAAATTTTAGGCATTCAATCAGTTATACTTTCTGTGGCTGGCTTATTCATTGTTAAATTACTAGATGAAAACGATTAATAGCATAAATGCGAGAAACAAGTATGTTATTAAATTTAATAACCTGGCTTGTTGATGCCAAACGACATCTGATCAGCTTTTATTTCAGCCATTAAACCAAGGTCAATTTCATTTACATTTATCGTTAACTGTTAGAGGTATTGCAAAGGCAGTAATTAATTTTTGTTTAATTCGCTCAACATTCTGCATCCTCGAAAATGCCTTTTCTCAAGTCCTTTGTACTATGCTGTTTAATTAAGCATTTATGCCATCTAGCAGTTCATCAATATTAAAGCTCATCTGCCTGTGGGCCAAACGCCAGACTCGATTTTAATTGCCCGAATATATGCTGCTCATTCGAACGGATCCACTCGAATGCCACTCGATGAGGGGCACTTGAGGCAGCCCCTTGCCACGCCCCCTCCCCCCCCTGCAACAAGAGCCCCATCCCCGCCCTCGAAGGCCTATCCAGAAAATGCATCTGCAGCAATGTCTGCCGATGATGAAGATGCTGATGGATCGGCACAGTGTCTGCTAAAAGCTGGCACCACATTGTTCTTGATGAGAGCCAAGAAGTCCTTAATAAATGAAAATTGTTTTAAGTCAATCAAACTTTCTCAGAAATTCACACAAAATGAATTGGCAATTTGACAATTATAGGGAATTACAGATATTTTTAAATTTGATCATTTGTCTCTTAAAACCTACTGAAATTGTATGTTCTTTTAAACTATAATCAAGACTTTTGGCGCCAATTGGGTTTTCTGATCGCTTTTTTTGCTGAGTGGCTGGGCTTATTTTTAAATCCGCCATTACTTCGCAGCAGCTATTTTATTCAAAATTAATCACGAAGCAGAAATGCGAAATGTTTCATAATGGATCGGTGGTTGGGTGGATGGATGGGGGTGGTCGCTGGGCAGTCGATAAGATAAGACCCAAATGCGATAGAGACCCGACGACTTAAGGCCTGAAGTAGGTATTTCGGGGACAAGAGCTCTACAAGCCCAAAAACCAAAAAAAAAAAAAAAAATATTATACAATTCACACGGTAGATAACGCCGGGGGAATCGGTTGAAGTGTCCAAGCCCAGCCGGCCGTGTGACACAACCGGGTGTCCACTGTACTTCGATCAAAAACTGATTGACGTATGACTATTTCCCCGGCGACATTGCGACTGGGCAGTCGATCGGAATTTATTTACCTTATTTAAAATCGAAAGAGCCTATAAAAATCTTGTCGATTGGATCGATTAGATATGGCTATATAGCCAAAGATATAGATGTAGATTGTCAGAGCATCGGGCGACACACTTATCAGCCTGACAGTGCAACTAAATAGAAGGATTTGCATTCGTGCCCCTTAATATAACGAAGGAGACCGAACTGCCCTTCAAACTGATTGGCAAATTAAGACAAATTTGATAAAAGCCAATGTCTGCGGCGAAAACCGCACAGAAAAATTGTCGAAAACAACAAAAAAAAAGAAATGCTATAACCCCAAATGCCAGCACATGTGTCTCCAATTTACATTTAAATGGAAAAAAAAGTAGAAATGTTCGATCCGAACTTCTATGTGCGTGCATTTCTTGGCTTTATGAGTCACATTTGCAAGGCAAATATTCTCGCCGAGCAATACATTTATTTGCAGTTGGATGAAAATGCTTCCCAAATGAGATACTCACTACCAGTCATTTCATTTTATTTCCAAATATTGCAATCATTGAACTCAAGGGTTCCAAAAGAGGTCAATGATTGCCTGGCTATTGCATAATATTTTAATTGGCAGTGTGGCAAGTAGTTTATGCTTCGAATTTTATAGAAAACATTTAATAAAATGTTTTAGTATTTGTACTAAGCTCTGAAGTGATCAAACAAGTTCAATACCTACATATTTATTCTTTACTCTTTATCCTTCATATTACTTTCTCATCATCTACGAGTATTCACTTATTACTCACTCATTACCAAGCCATTACCACCTCCTGCTGAACTCATTCTTAAACTATTTCGCTGATGAGACACTCGCCATTTTGATGGTTCATTTACACCCATTCCCAGGCGGCACGAACTCCAAATGATTGAAATGTAATTGACAGCCCCCCCTCAAGTGATCACCCCTACTTTCACCCCCTTTCACTCCCTTTCACCCACTTTCTCCCCCGTTTTACATTGAAACACACACACAGATATTGGCGATACAAGTCGCAGCTGTTAATGCAAGGCTAGTCATGTGCTTCGATTTATCGACAGCATTTCTATTTGTACTTTTGCCACAAAATATTTACACAATTGACAGCTGCTTCTGTTCAGTGCCCATTGTGACCCCACCCTCCCCGCACATTTTCCGCCCCCCTTTCACCGCTTTCCCCGCCGAATTTCCCCCTTGGATGTGTGTTGGTGAGGCTGCTTTATGTGCTCCTCGTAGCAAATGAATTATCTAAGCTTATTGTCACATAATCTTTGTCAACATGACGGGGGTGACTTAAAATACCCTCCACGAAATGATAAGCTTTTACTTCTGGGCTTATGGACCCTGGGAACCCGTTTTGGGGTGACATTTTAATAGGGTTTTCGGGGCAGGAGGACTCTTAATTTAAATTGATGAACATCTGAACTCAAGAAATTTAATTTGTATAGATGAGGCTGTGATTAAGTTTGAGGCGTCCCGAAAATTCATTAGTTAAAATATAAGAAAACATTTATTATTTAAAAATTTCTAAAATCCAAGTGCTCAAGCTAAAAGTTGAGAAATAGTCATTTAGTATTACTCCCGATTTTGTGTGTGTATATTGCGTATACGTAATTTTTTAATAAGCAACTACTTAAGCTCTAAAAATTTAATCAAACTTCAATTTAAGAACAGGTTTCCTATTTATGTTCTAATTTCGAAAGAGTATCCCTGACCCTTGGCAGAAAAAAGTTAGCAATTTTCCTCCCTTCGCTGTGTATGTGTGCGTGTGCAATTGTGCGTATACGTAATATTTCAATTTGCACTTATTTCAGTACCCGCCTCGGCTTTATCCCCCCGCTCTCTCTTCACCGATTTTTCTTTCGTTTTTCACTTATCTGAGATTATTAAACACGCCAGGGGAATTTCATTACAGCTCCGCATTTCTATATACATTAATTGCCAGACCACAGAATTCACACAGCCCTGTTTAACCTCAAATCAGATGAAAAGTTTTGTAATTAAATAGCAATATGAATGCGTTGATAAGAGTCACTTGGTGACAAGTTCAATCAATCATTGACATTCATTTTTTATGTTATTTTTTTTTTTTGCCGCCCTGTTTTTCTATTTTCCCGTTGGCCAAGACAACAGGCTGTGTGCCATATTGATTATGGCCGTTATCGATGGGGAAATTTGCATAGAAAATCAAGGACAAATCGATGTTGACAAACTGTCGGCCATCGTTTCCGTTTGGCCCTGGCTAATGGTGAAAATTAACGCCCGCAATTTGTGTCAACTGGCCACTGGCATGGGAATTTTCCAAGGAAATTGTAGCGGCCATCATGATGGATGGGTTTTGCAATTGCTCTGGCAAATGCCAAATACCAAATACAATTACCAAAACCCAAAATCAAGGATTCTAAGGAATTGTGCATGATATGGCCTCCTAATCGTGATTTAATATCACAAAGTAGGGTTTTAAATGCTCAAAAAAAATACATAATTATGGTCAGAAAAATCTTGTGAATAAGCAACTGCAAAAAGAATATATATAAATTGAATATGGCATAGAACATGGATTCGAAAATTTGAAACATCACTTGTCAAAGCTAATTTAAAGACATTAAATAAAAGCTAAATATAACTGTAATTACTTTTCGCAGCTTTTCCACATCTTTCAGAAATTAGCATAAACATAAACATCCATAAACAATTGGGTCTTTTATCTTTTGTGTATAACCAAACATAAACAGCCATTAATAAAAAATCTTTATTCGAATA